TGTTCCCTGGGGCTGTCAGTCTTTTCCTTTCCCCATCAATAGATTCACTGGTGATTTATGAAGGGAAAAAAAAAAAAAAAGGGAAAACTACCAGAGTGCAGGCCTAGAAAAATCTGTTAGGAAAGTATATGTTGTGAAAAAGCAGTTAAGTGGGAAACATAAAGCGTGAGGGTTTTCTGTTTTTTTTTCTGTTAAAAAACATTGAGTCATGATGATGATGCCAAGCCAAAATTTAAAAAGAACCCTATAATTTCCATTTATTTCTGCAAACATTATGGTAAAACCATGGCATTCTCATGACAATACTAACGATTGAAATGCTACTATTCATGAGTTTTATCCAGACCTTATCATTCTCATGTCACATGCAAACAATCATATTTAATAGATTCCGTATTTATGAGAGCTGTTTTTAGATAAAGTACAGGAAAACTCTCTAGACTATGTTTTGCTGTTTGAAGTAGCCACCCAGTCTTGCTTAAGCATTTACAATGTTGAGTCGCTCCATTTTGGAAAGCTTGACATCAGGGATTGTAAAGAAGGTCTGCCTTTCAGAGTGCATGCTTACACCATTTCTGAAGCTATGGTGAATGAAATACGTGTAAGAGCATGCACCCAGCCGTGCAGGAATCAAAAAATCTCAAAAACTGTGCTTATAGATGTCAGATGTGCTCAAAATATTCTGCCTATTAATCTTGCTATCACCCAGAGAATGGTTTTTAAATTGTATAATGCTATCTGGAAAACTGTCTTAATATACTGCATTGTAGATTAAACTGTGTCTTTGGTTAAATAAAAGAAGTCCAAAGACAAAACCTGTATTTGAATAATTAATTTAATTCACAAATAATTGAGAATACTTTCAGATGGGCTGTGCATGAAAATAGAAATGAAATTAACCCAAATTTGTCATGTTTTAAGTTCAACTTTATTTGTACCCTGACTTGATTTATTTGTACTTTGTCTTTACAAGTGAGTAATTCCTTTTCTCATCCCATCTGCGGTGTGCCTTGCTTGGAGCAGAGTTTGTTTTGCTGATGGACATAAATATTTGAATCCATCTGTGAGGGGGGTTCCGTGGCTCGGGGAATTGGTAATAGACTATAGAGCATTTCACCTCAAAGGTCACTAGTTCACATCCGTATCAGGTCAATAGTGGCAGAAAGTCATTATGCATCTGGCTGGCATCTGCTTGGTGGCCATTGCCAAATCATTTAATAATCTCAGTCCAATTCCACGTGGCCAGGTGCTCTCTGTTCTCCCCAAAGCAGTGCCCTGCAGCAGACCTCCTCGGCCGCTGTCTTGCTACCTGCTCCCAAGGAATGGTCCCAAGCCCCTTTTTTGAAGGACCCCTTCATCCCCCCAGGCACCCCGGGGAGGGGGGCGGGGGCTTGCCAGGGACCAGCACCTCCCAGGGGCTGCCGCACACCAACGCCCC